TTTCTGCCTTTACGTGTGGACGGGATTATTTTTTAAAACGAAAACGGAAAATCTCCGTTTTCAAAAATACCCGTGTACGTGTGGACGTAGCCTTGGACTTGGCCTGTTCCCATCAATCAGGGACCAAATATGGTTTTATTGTCCCCCTGAAAAGACAAGAGGTCGTTTCAAGAATACACAATCATTGAAATAAACTTTAATAAACATCATTCTGATTAAAAAATATCACACCTGAGCTGTGTGGTCACAAGCTTACGTCCGTGTTGTCCCTGCAGCTCCACCCTCAGCCTCTTTTACCAGCTACGTTTACCCATCACAGTTTATTCATTAAAAAATCTTCACGGTGGAAATCAGAGTTTAAAAAATGGATGAAATCCAAACAGTAAAAGAGAGTAAAAGAGATTGAAGAGAGTCGTGCTCCATTTTTATTCGCTTATATGTCGACGATCTGATGCTCTGAACAAAACCGAACGACCTCCTTTACCCTCTGCTTCCTGTTTGGCCCTCAGTCACGCCGGCCTGGAGACGGTTACTCGCACGAGCAGATTAACGAGGTTTATTCCAGGTGAGAATCAGCTGGTTGAAGCGAACCGTCAGTGTTGTGGAGAAACGGCGTTTTCAGAGGCTTTGACAAACAGCAGGTCTGAAATCCGAGCGTCCAGCTGGCCGTGACACGGAGCCAAAACCGTTTAAGTGTTTTTAAAGCCGTTCGTGGTCACCTGATGAAACATTCCCTCCCCAACATGCGTGTTCTTCTCCACACACTGTTTGTAGGTGTTTGATGGCGGCGGTGGGGGTGAGGGGGCGGACCCTTACCCCGAGGGAGCCTCCTTGGGTCCGGGCTGCATCTCTGCTGATTTCATGGACTAAAAAAACCACCTAAAGGTGTCGATGTCGAGGTTGTCAATGCATGCCTGATATGTTTGATGTTGAACCAGAAAAAAAGTTCTGTGCCACAGTCGATCCCACCTGTCTGCTCCGAATCGTCCGTTCTTCGGTTCCTCGGAAACGTTCTCGCTCGGCAGAATGCGGCTTTGTTCGGTTTCTTATTCCCTGCGGGAGAAACACACGGAGAATATATATTTAAAAAAGAAAAACACGTTTTAAAAAATGGAAGCATGTATGTTTTCTACTGTTTGTACTTGGTATTCATGTTGCCCTTGCTGCTTATGTGCCAATGTTGTGGGAGAGATTTACATTTGGCCACTCATGCAACTATTCTGTGGTGTCGTCCAAGAATGTATCAACATGAAATAAAACATTTGGTTATTTTTTGTAGAAACGCCGTCTGTGTATCCATGACGACCCTGACACACGCTCGTGTGACAGCAGCTTTGCATGATTCACTGTTCACAATAATCCTTCTTTATCTTACAGCCCGCCACTTCCTAGTCTAAAAAAAGGCCCCTCCCCCTTCCTTAAATCCAGCTTCTGATTGGCTGCCTCTTAAGACGCTCCTTAAGATGACCATATAAGAATGTTTCTTCACTATGAGGAAGTCCTGCCCAGCCAACACGTTCTCACTCCCAACGCGTAACATTTTACGCTAGGTGACAAATCGTCAACATGTTACGTTTTCGGCTACCCACCACGTTCCTAAATGACGACCTCGGAAAAATGAGGAAATATGAGAACCGTATGGACTCAATCTACACATGTTTGCTCTTTTTCTTCAAATCGCTTAGAAACACGCTATTTAACATCATTTAAGTCCTGGTTAAGATCAGGAAAAAGGTTATGGTTAGGGCTAGGGATAAGGTTAGGTTTAGGGCTGGAACGTCTATTACCGCGGGAGCGTCATTGCACTGGATTTCGGCCATAACCCGCCACGTACCATAAGAACGCCGAAGGTCTCCTTTCGCGTTCCTCAGGAACGCCGCGGGACGTGACAAAATGTCGGCATGTTACGTCTCGGGAGTGAGAACGGGCTCGCTCAGCTCGCTTGAGCGGCTGCACGACGCACGCCGTCCTGCTGGTCTCTCAGTGACGGCTGAAAGACGTGATGTCAGCCTGTGAGCTGCAGCGTCACCTACACATGGTAAATGGTTCTTATAGAGCGCTTTTCTACTCATCTGAGCACATTGTACACATGTATGTACATTCATACATGCACATCTTCCTAAGTGCTTCATAGCTGACATTCACACACATTCACACTCTGATGGACGCATCGGAGAGCAATTTGGGGTTAATATCTTACCCAAGGATTTGGCATGTAGACTAGGGGAAGCCAGGAATCGAACCACCAACCTTCCGATCAGTGGATGACCTGCTAACACCTGAGCTACCACCCCATGTGCGTTTATGTGCACATGTGCAGTAAAGCAACCAGAGAACGGAGCTCTGTGTCTGCAGACGGTGAGCGCACAGCACAGATAAGCTGCGCTCGCCTGGCCTCTCCATGTCTTTATCTCCAACATGGAGATAAGCTGCTGCGTGGAGAAAAGATGGAGGTCGAGGAGGTCGGCGATAAGACCGCATCTGCCCGGCCATCAGCCAAACGTGGAGGTCAGTGGAAGCACTGCCCGTGGTCAGAGAGGTCGCCGCGTCACTGCAAACTCGCAGACACTCAATGATTTGCATGTCGAGGAAATCCAGGAAAGACGCTTCGTCTTATTTGTCGTGTGTAACAGCGTTTACACACACGAACACACGCCGCTCAGAGCACATCCAGGTTATTTATGAGATTATATCCACTGCAAGTGTCACTCGTGTGGAGAGAGATCCTCCAAGTGTTCGCTTAAAGCCCGCGAGCCTCTCAGAGAGCCTGCGCTCCGTGGTTTACACGTCCCGATGGGAAAAGGCCGGAATACTGATCCAGTTTTTAAAGAGGAAGAAGAAAATCTGAGAGGGAGCCGTGTGAAACAAACTTCTCCCTGTGTGTCTCTTTGCAGTTAGCCCCTCCCCCTGAAGCCCTGCCAGTAACGATAGAGCAGGACTTTGGCCGCCTCCCCCCGCACGTCCTCCTCAGCCCGCCTGAGCCGCAGATAAGAGCGGCTGTGGGGAGGGCTCGGCTTCGTGTGGATTCACATAACTAACCTTTGGTGTCCAATTAGATTAGCCGCCGCCAAACCAATTAGTGTTTCTGTGAGGAAGGAGGAGACCGCAGGCGTATTAGGACTGATATCCTCGCAGCAGCAAACGTGCTGACGCAGCTTCAGGAGCCACTGCAGTGGAAAATGCAGCTTGTTTGCAATAAGACAAAAGTTTTGGAGCTGGAACAAAAAGCGTCCGGCTTTAACGAGTCAGAGGAGCCCGACAGCGAGGCCGGGTTCATTTCCTGTCCCGAGGAGACAAACGCAGCTCATCCATTAATGAAGAGCGCCGTTTATCGCCCTTCCAGCCCGGACCGCTGCGAGCACCACGAAGCATCGTTTAGAGCGGCTTCGCTGTCACGCTCCGGAGCGCTGAGCTCTTGGGGCGTTTGGGGGGAGGGAACAGGAAGTAAGCGTTGCCATGGTTAAGTAAACTAGTCCCCGGGCGACAGCTCGAATCCTGCATCATTTTTGCTGCCTCACCTGAGCACGACTCGTCCCAGGTGAAAGCACACCACTCTGATGTACACCTCACTCCACAGATACACACAAGCAGTTACACAAAAACTATTTGACATATCAGTTAAACCCGTAACACACAGATGATGAAGATCAGCAGCAGGACGACCGACAGCCCAGCTGAAGCACACCTGAAGTAATTCAGTGTGTTGTTTCCACAGGTAAAGGCAGGGTCACCTGTCACCTCACACTATTATTATATGATACTTATAATATAGCTCCCTGTGTCCAGATCAGCCTATCAGCTACAGCCACCTGTGGGTCAAAGAGGCCACGCCCCTAATGATGCAAACTTTACAGACTTTAAAGCCTTGATATAGTTTAACAGGTAAGTTATA